TCATTGTCATTATAATGTTCTTTTATTGTTGCAGATGACAGCAGCAGAGAGGAGGTCTCATCGGAACAACAGGTAAGCCTACTATCTATTATTCGCTTATATCTATTACAAAGATTCGCTAGACCATGTTCATAGAAATAAGGGCGATCCATCCCTGGCAAGTCAATGGACAAAAATGGGCCTTATATCACTTTTAAATATCAACTCCTTTGTGCTGAAATCACATTCGACTACAAGACTCCAATCCAAGGTGATATAATAGATTAAAAAAACGAACAGATGCAAACGGAATACTGAATCCATCGAGTATAGAGCCAGAAATAGAAACGAAATAAGGGCCATATATTCCTGGTAACACATTAGCGATACAGCTCTTATAAATATGAACTCTCGTTTGCACTGAAATATAGACAGGCCAACTACTGACCTGTGTGTACGTCTCCGTATATATCAAAAAATATTCTGTATTTATTGTATTATAGACAATATCTCTAACAATGCCGTGCTGTTCTATTCGGTGGTGTGGGAAAAACAGCAAAACATCTAATTACAAAACAAACGGAATCACATTTCATCGGTGATTAAATATTGAATATGTAATTTTGCAGTTTTCGTCCATTATAGCAAAGCTCAAGTTAAACTGATCGATTTGAAGTGAAACAATTAACGACACCCGTCCATTGTTTCGAATTCGGGCTGGCCAATCGGAGCGCAGTTGTCACAGTAATGATTTGGCAGATAGTTTTCAAACAAATTAAATGACATTTCGTCTCTATTTCTGGTTAAATACTCGTTGGCCATATAAAATATTTTTTATAATCTATAAAAAGTTAAGTTTTATCTCTCTGTGCTCTTTGGTTTCCTTGGAAGCGTTTGTTGTGGAATAATACTGTCATTGCAGAACAATTATTAAAGTTTTTCTCAATAAAATTGTATGTTTTGTCAAGACCAGACTTACTAAAATTCACTATTAGAAGAATTCAACAGCCCATACCTACCTAAAGATGGATAATAGAGCAAAATTCTTCAAGACTCGTATCTTATGTCATATAAATTGACCTGTGATTGAGTGTACATATTAATTTATGGGTATGTTTTTGAATATTCATTAATTTCTCGAAACAAGGGAACTAAAAAGTATCTACAAAATTTCATGCAAATCGAAGGGTTCAAAGAATAACCGCTTTTGAACCGTGATTTACATTATGCATGTTGCTAGTACATTCGATGCCAAAATTAATGGGCCAATCAATATTTTTAAGTTGCTTTAAAAATTATTCAACAAATTTCGTTTTGTTTTTTTTTTATGACGTCTAGAATCGAAATCATTATTAAATATTAAAAATGAAAAATCGCCCCATTTTAAAATAATTGTAAATCTAGCGTAAAATTTTCTACAAATGATAACTGTAAATTAATGGCTGTAATTGCCGATTGAACTTGTCGTAATACCAAGCAAATGAGTACGCCTTTTGTGCAAATGATGCTACCATTTGAAGTGGCATTGAACAATTCGTGGTCCAGTGGTAATGAAGCTCTAATTGACATCGTTGCTACGGGAATTGCACAAACAATATTATTTTGTACAATCTGGGGACCAATTATTTCATTGTCATCAACATTTTAACACCTCGTATACCTGCAGAACCGCTGCATAAATACGGAAGTAATTTTCATAATAAGAGACTTAAAATTGAAATTTGAAATTATCACGTAGACGTTTATTTGCTCAAAAGTATTTTGCTGATTTAGTACTTAGTACTGGTGTTACGTACGGCCAAACGATGAACATTATATAACACACTTTATTTATTTGTTACAATGGAACAACAAATGTAGCATGTATATAATAAAAGGTCACAAAAAATTTATAACAACACGACACTAAAATAGCCTTTCGTGTACGTACATGTCATCGGTAAAAAAAAAACAATTATAATTATTATGTACCTATTTTTTTGCACCTGACTGTAATTTCCATTGAAGGCCGCAGTTACGGGGCGTGTTTGTAATAATGCTAGTAATTGTAATTACATATTCGTAATGAATGAGATCGTGGACCGTGAAGAATTCGACGAAATGTGCAATTTTATTTTATGAAGCGTCTGCCAGTAATTTTCTTTTGTAATGTGTTTATTTATCGAGTTGTTAGGTTTGCTATACATTGGTAATTATGGTACTTTTAAACGTTTTTTAAGAAAAGAGGGAGTTCTCAATTCGAATTAACCTTTTTGTGTGTATGTTACTGGATTATTCTGACATTTTTTAACCGATTTCGATGATTCTTTTCTGGTGGAAAGGGTGTACCTTAGCATTGGCCCCATTTAGAAAATATTCCACCTGTAGGGCTGACAAATTAGGTGGTGAACACGGTTACTGTTCTGTTTTTACTTTGTTTTTGTTTCTTTTTTTTAACAAAATTTTTCGAATTTTGTTTTTTGTTTCTTTTTCCACAAATTCAGGGAGCTCAGGAGAGTTCAGGGAGCAAAATCTTTGTTATTAAATATGACTGTTCACAAAAATAACAGACCCTGTCCAAAAAATAAAGTTGGCGAAGTGTACATTCGAGGAATCGATGATGAAAATCTACAAACTTTTGAAGTAGGTTTACTACTTAATTTTCATACAATATCTGGAAGTGCAATCGCATTGAAACGTAGCGCCACTTTTGCAGTAACAGTTAGTGAAGTACGACGTAACGCGCGGCTGCTGCACCACAGTTGCACGCATGCATTGCACCACTTGTATTAACTACTTCTACACATATAATTGCCGAACGGTTAGCATGATGGACTCTTATGACAGAGAACAAAATATATTTGTGTGGCTTGCATTTATTTCTCTCGTGGGTTTGTGGTTGTCTATGTGTGTGTCCATGGTACCCGCCATACAGAATTTCCTTACTGCTATGTGAAAAAAAAAAATAGCATTTGTGGCAGTTTATTGTATAGTCTAGGGACCATGTCAACTGCGATATTTTCTTAAGAGATGTTTTACAAGGGATGGTGCCAGTGGCAAACGTTTGAGGATAACCAGGACGTAGTTTAATTCTTGGAACAACCGTTTTTTTCCCCCTAATTATAACCACTACAGTGCTTCTATTAGCGTGTAATTCAAAGGTACCTTTACCTATAGTGCTATCCTTGTATACACTTTAGTTCTTTACCATCCGTTTATGTCAACTTTTAAAAGATTCTTTTAATTTATTTGTGTATTCAGCACATTCCCTCCTAACTCATTTTATTATCAACTTTCCCATATACGTCTGTGGCTTAATGGCGATGCCTTAAGTAAAAATGGCAAACCAGGCAACCCACAATGTCTATCACCAGTCTGCGACACTCTCGTTCTGCAATCTGAATTTACGACTCTATCGCAAGATCCGCCAGAGCTATAAACGAACTGGTATTTTGTTATATTCGGATTATTTTGTGCTTTCGATTGCTAAATAGTAACGTAACTGATACGAGTGGGTTACGCCCCAGTCACTGCCAGATTAAGCTTACGAAGCGCTTTTCATTTCGAGTCTCGAGAGTATTGATGCATATTATTATTACAAATAACTATTTACCTTCATAATATTATAGTACATTGTGTATTAAGGACGGAAAATAAGAAATTAGTAAGGAGTGTAACGAGAAGCCCGAAGCCTAAGCCTGAGGGCTTTAATAACTCGAGTTTTGTATTTTTTTGCCGTCTGTCATACATATAATGTTTTTCATTACATTTGCGAGGAAGTAAATACAATATAAACATGTACACAACACGACCATTATGGATTTGGCAAATGGCGGTTTTTGTTTTTTTTTTTTAATTTTTCCATAGGTAATACAACTCGAACTAAAATGTTGTAAAAGCAATCACGCGTACAGCCATGATGGATTGTAAAAAAAAATAATTGCGAAATTTTTGTACAGAAAATATTTAAAATCAATTTTATGAAATTCTTAATAATCAGTATTTAAGTAGTATGTGGTTGACTTACAATAAAATTCCTGTTTAGATAACATTTTTTAGCGAATGTTTTAATTTTGTGCTTAAGTTGAACTTGAATCTGACCTATGGAAGGATACAAATTAAAAACGCTCCTTACCGACCATGGTTGTAATGGAAAGGAAAAAGGCCCGTGGGTTTTATTCGGGGTATTACGAGTATAGTCAAGTTAGCCAGCATGTAATCATACCATTTACGAGCAAGTGTGATGAAAAATTTATTAATATATTAATTGATGTTCTACTGCCATTATATTGAATTAATTTTTTGCAAAATTAAATTTAAAGGTATGTAAACAAAGATCTGTATCCAGCATATATAAAACTTCGTAAGGTTTGCTGGTACTTTCCGTAGCTTAGTTGGGAGAGTGTAGCCACGGTATGCTAGAGATGCTGGTTCGTATCCAGCCGCATCGAAGGAATGTTTCTTAGTGTTCGATCTTTGCATTAATAATTATTTACCTTGATTTTTGCTAAATAAATACGAAGTTAGATTTTGTATCTTGAACAAAATGAAGTTTTTCTTGATTCTTGTTAACGTGTGTAAATTTATGACTTCGAAAATCGTAAATCGCCACGTATGTGAGACAAATCCGGATCCGTCAAGTGACAATAACCAACCGGAGTCGGCCGCGTGCGCAGGCGCATCGATCACTGACAGCAGAGGTCTCGTAACTCACTGTACCGTTGCCACCGACTGTTTTGGAAGACATGACTTCTTGCTTGGTAGCCACGTATTTCAAGAACAGGAAGAGCAAGTAGAAATATTTGAGATAAGTTGCCGGTCTTATTTGCGAGGATTTTACACAAAGTCGGTACAGAAGTGAACGAATTCGTAAAACCTGAATAAATGTTTAAAAAATATTATAAACTTTCTAAATGAATCCACTTTAAGCAATTCCATGCGCACAATTTTGTTTTAAAGTTGCATTTGTTGCGCCTCCTACGACTTTAATCAAAGTGATAAATATGCAACGGTTAAGTGCTTTGAGAGTTGCAAAGCTTAAATTGTCTGCGACCATCTTTATTTCACTGCATCCATGTGGGTGGTAGATAAGTAAGTCAAGAACTCGCCAGACA